ATGTGAATGAAGCTTCATCCATTCAAATAACTGTTGTAAAAAAAAAAAGAGTGAACTGACTCACATTGTTTAATGGGAGAGCGACTCGTGTGCAGTAGCCTCGAATCAAAACACAATGAGTTTGTTTTTCAAGATCCCCTCCCCTTTTTCGTGGAAGAACAAGTTCTTGGAATGAAAATACAACATTCCAATACTTTGATTAGTCAGAACCTTCTGCAAGAGACTTGTGAAATGTCAGCGTTAAATTTTTTGGAATATACCATACTTCTGCCAGTTTATCACATTAAGGAATAAAAAAGAACGAGATTTAAATGAAGACTTTGATTTACCACTTTCTAATTCTTCTTAGAAATCATGTTCAAGCTCCTCTGAGTTACGGTGGACAATTATTTCTAGAAGCGTTTCAATCAGCTAAAGAACATGTGACAGGTTATTAGTTATGTTTTTGTTCTCTAAGAATATTCTGGATAAAACCAGCAATTCTGGTGCCTGATCCTTGTTATAACAAATGGAAGGAATGACCACAGTGCAGGTGTCACTGAGAGTTTTGGCAGGGTCTGAGTGTTATAGTATGACTATGACACAATGCATGCAAAGAGCACTGAGGGTATTGGCACATAATGAGTTACAAGTCTTTGTTCTCTCAAATGTCAAGTAAAGAGACTTTACTTTTCTCTTTCCTCCATGTTGAATGAATTAATTGCATGAATACTGACATAACCTATGTCAATTTTCATGACATAACAGGTTGTTGCCACCAAAGGTCAGTTTGAAGTGAAGGGTCTATAACCTGTCTGAGTCATTTACATAGTTATTCAACCTATAAGCTTTAGATTCAAACTAGAGATCTGCGCAGTTTCATAGGAATATGTGAAGTGAGACAAATGCATGACAAATTTATAAAAAGAAGTTTAAAACATGGTTTTAAATTGAACAATAGATAGAATGATAAATAGAACAATTGATACACTGTAAAAAATGACTGAATTTAACGGTAAAAGACTGTAAAAATGCTACAGTAAAAACCTGTTAAATGGTTAACGGTAAATTCCCCTACTATATACGGTGAAAAACTGTATTGGATATTACATGTATTGGACATTCATTTTACGGTAGTATACCGTTTTTGGAAGTGAAAAAGACCGTATAATTTACAGCGAATAACCGTAAATTGACATTCCCAGAATTCCCTGCGTTACATTTCAAATTGGTTGTTTTTTTGTTGAAATAACTATGTTTCTTCTTAGTTTTTTCTTATCAGTTTTGTATATTAGGGTTGTGCGTTACGTAACTGTAAATGTAAGTTAAAACCGTAAAACCTAAAACGTTACTACTGTATTTTTTACCGTAAATTTTACTGAATTTTTTTTACAGTGTAGAATGATAGCTATATAGATAGAACAATAGAATGATAGCTATATAGATAGAACAATAGAACGACAGATAGATAGATAGATAGATAGATAGATAGATAGAACGATAGATAGATCGATAGCTAGATCGATAGATAGATAGATAGATAGATAGATAGATAGATAGAACGATAGATAGATAGATAGATAGGTTCTATAAATATATTCTAAGAACATTTTGCTAACGTTCAATAAGTTAATAAACGTTATTTCTAAATGTTCTCTGAACGCTCAAAATGGCTCATTTTTAAATGTTTTAAAAACTTTTGTTGTTGTTGGTTATATGAACATTACGGGAACATTATATGGAAATGTTACTTTTTGAATGTTCTCAGAACTTTCTGAAACAAGTAATAAATAACATTACACGTACGTCAAACTAACACGATAAAAAAGAACTTTTTCATCATTGATGAAATATGTATAATGTTTTTATGCTAACATTTTTAGAACATTATTAAAGACCAGATAACTGCAGTCAAATGTTCTATTAATGTTACTGCAAGAACATTTGTTCATAACTTGGGGAGAACCTTGCCAGATAGATAGATAGATAGATAGATGTTCTCTCTTCTCTCTCCTGTTCACCTCTCCTTTTTCGCTCCATGAAAGAAAGAAGACCACATGGATCTGAAATGATCCGAAAGTGAGTATGACAGAATTTTCATATTTGGGTAAAAGAAGGTCAGTTCAGGTGAAAACTGCATGTTTTATTATGGTAAAGAACCTCGTGAGACTTACACAGCTCTTTAAACAAATGCGTGACCGTATTACCCCGCCTGTGGGCTGAGACCAATGGCTCTTGCTAGTGCTATTTAGTAACTAAACTGAAGTCTGAGTTTCAGATTTCATTAGCGAGTATTCAAGCAGCACCGGGAGTTTGCGAATATTTTATTTCCTCAGTTTATGTTGAACGGAGCGCGACAGGTGAGGATCACAAACGCCCAAAGTTTACGCAGAAAAGACATGAACATTTTGTCATTCCAATGCGTTTGGTGGCTCGTATTAAGCTTCACTGGTCTGTTCGTCGCTGCTCTGGAGAAAGAAATCTTCTCCAACGAACTCTTTGGTAAGTTGTTTGAAATGTTTGTTGTTGCGCTGTGAGAAATGCATTCGGATAACCTGAGGCGTTATTTTATTTGGAAGCGACGCGATTCTTTCATTTGTAATGTCTGTGTTTTCAATCCCTACCGCAAATCCTGCATTTATGATGGGACAACTTTAATATCCGGCATCTGTCTGAGCTTTTAAATCCATGAATTAGCCCGTAGAAGGCACCGGTGCCTTTTTACTAAACATTTTTTCGAGTCGACTTGGATGTTAGATGTTTTATGGAGGATTTCTTAAAAGTACATTTCAAGTTCATACTCATCACAAGGTAGCCTAATCTTCAGAGCAATCTAATATCCCATCGATTAAAGGTGTGACAATTGGGTATAGTAAGCATATTATGGCTCCACCCACCTATTATGTCAGCTGAGCTGAACTATGGAAATATTTATTGTCCTCTCATAACCTGTTTTAAGCATGCCAAGTATATACAATTTTAAACCTAATGTTTATTATTCCATATTTTATTTTATATTATGTATATATAATTTTTACTTAAATATTACATTTTTAATTAAAATATATATATATTTTTCTTTTTAAAATTACAGTTTTCATGTGAGATTGTCAATTAATGCCTTCAATTCAAATGTTATTTTAATGGGATTTAATAGCTATTTAATTACAATTAATGATAATAATTTAGAATAATTTTATTTTAATAGTATATCTTAATATATTATATTTACATACAATTTTATAATCATAATGCAGATTTTTTATAATATTTATAATTACAAAATAATTTACTTATTTTTTATTTCATAGACATTTTAATTTGACTTTTTACAATGTTATGTGTCACTTTCAGTGCATTTCATGTATTTTTAATTACATTTGTAATTTTATATTTTACATTTTTATTTTATTTATATTAATTTTTATTTGAATATTTTTCAATGACCAATGTTGATATTATATTTTTGCATGCTCAGTTTTATAATTCTAATATTATAGAATTTTAAAATACTTCTTACAATTATTTTTAAGAATTACTTTTTTTAAATTAGATTTTTACGTTGACTTTTTAATGTATTTTATTTAAAGTACATTTTAATAGTACTATATTACTTTTTCAATCTTTACATAGATAATTTTCTGGAGGATCTACGAGACCTGTCAGATGTCAACAAAGCCAATGTCAAGTTTTCTCTGAGAAACCCATCCCAACCAGATGACGACGTGTGTTACATTGTGCGTGGCAAACCAGAGACTCTCAACAGCTGCAACTTCAAAAACACTTCAAAAACCTTTTTGGTCATTCATGGGTGGACGGTAAAGCAACAGTTACAAGCATTCCATAAATTCAGCTGATTCTTTTTCAATATGTTAGTGTTAAATTAGCTCTTTTCCCCTAGGTAAGTGGATTGTTTGAGAGCTGGGTTGAGAAACTAGTTGCCGCACTTTATAACAGGGAGAAGGATGCTAACGTCATTGTTGTGGACTGGTTGGACACGGCACAGAACCATTATGTGGTGGCAGCACAAAACACAAAGATGGTGGGACAAGAGACTGGACTGTTCATAGACTGGTTAGAGGTTTGTGTTAGCAAATCAAATCAAATCAAATTACACATACTGCTATTCTAGGTTTTTATTTGCCATCATTGTGCCCAATTCATAAGGAGACTGCCAGGGTTCCTCTGGAGAAGTTGCACCTCATTGGCTACAGTCTTGGTGCCCACGTTGCAGGTTTTGCAGGAAATCATGCAACCAATAAAGTTGGACGAATCACAGGTAGGTTAATTGGTGTTCTTTTGGAAATAAATCTTAGAACAGGTCTTAAACACCACATGGGACAACAATTTGATTTTTTGCAGGTCTAGACCCAGCTGGACCAGACTTTGAAGGGGTCCACGCCCATGGACGGCTGTCCCCAGATGATGCCCATTTTGTAGATGTCCTCCACACATTCACCCGAGGTTCCCTGGGTCTCAGTATTGGCATTAAGCAGCCAGTTGGCCATGTGGATATATACCCTAATGGAGGAAGCTTCCAGCCTGGCTGCAACATGAGAGGAGCGCTGGAGAAAATAGCCAGTTATGGAATACTTGGTAAATACACTTATCAGGGATATTCAATTAAAGTTCCCCCTATTATGCCATGTCCAATACTACCTTTCATGCAGTGTGTAATGTAGCTGTATGTGAATGTAAACAATCAGCAAAGTTGTAAAGCCGAAGGTGCACGATAAATAAAGTTATTGTCTCCCAAAATAAAGAATCGACTCTCCACAGCCTAAACGAGTAATTCGAATCCCACTTCCGTGATGGCTACAGGTCACGGGGTAACACATTTGCATAATTCCCGCCTATGTTCTATGTTGGTCGGCCGCGAACAACTTGACCCCGCCCCCCAAAAAAACACGTAATTTTACTGACAACTGCTTCTCTAATCTCGGGGAGTTAAAAAAAAAATCTTGGGGAGTTCAACGCGGGATTCATTAAACGCTTGTTCTTGAAAGATGGCTCAGTACCCTGTTTATTTGGACCAGCTGGCTCCACTGAATCACAAGTATGATAAAAAATAGATGTTTATATTTTCTATCGAGCGTTCAAAATACAGAACTATGGCAATGGGCGTATTGTTTCCGACACGCGCTGTATGCGGTAGACCAATCACAACAGACTGGGCCATCTGATCAATCAGAGCAGAGTAGGCTCACGGAAAGGAGGGTTTTAGAGAGACTGAATCTTTGAACTGCTTCGAACAAATCGTTTGAGAATCGCTTGGAAAATGAGGTGATATTAAATGCATATTTTGAGAAAACGAAAGCGTTCTTTGACCTTGCATGCATGTAATCCTATTGTAGGAGACTCCCAAAACAATATTAGGAACCTTAAAAATGGCATAATAGGGGCACTTTAAATTCTAATTTATTTGTGTAGCGCTTTTCACAATGACATCTACAGTACATGTTTGCTCATTATTTACCACAATATTTCCTCAAAATACGTGGTAAGATTACGCATACATGCACATGGGGCCACTGGTTGTTGGTTGTTGAATTTGTTGATTGATGAAAAGTTGATTGCAGCATCATAGAAATTTGACACATATTATGTAATATTTGAAAATCTAAATGTTTTAAACATTGTATATTTTTAAATAAAATATATTTAAAATACATTTTAATTTATTTAATTAAATAAATAAATTCTTATTTTTAATCAAATAAATACTGATTTATCATAAATCTGAACACTAAAATGTTATTAAATACATTAAAATAATACAATATAATAAATTATAATAATAAATAAATCAAAATAAATGTAAAATATATAAATGTTTCTTATTTTTGAATTAATAACGCTGATTTGTTGAAAATGCTAATAGCACTAAATAAAATATTCTCTTAAACACACAAAAAAAGCATTTTACATTTTTTAATACATTTTAAAATAATACAATTAATACATTTATACATATTTTTATTTTTATTAAGAATTTAATTTTGAATTATTTTGCTATGAATAAAATAATACTGCATTCTGCACTGAACATTTGTCTGATAAAAATGCCTGTTATTTGTAACTTTCCCAAAGATGGAAAGAGATTAGTTATGTATCAGGAGTAGGTTGTGTCACATAACCTTTCTAATCTGTTTTCTACAATGAAATCATTCATCATCACTGCTAAAAAACAGATTATTTACATATATGACTTAAAAGATCATATTTAAGTTTAAAATCATATCAATTATGTTTCATTAATACCCTTAGCCTTAAATAATGCCATCAGATGCGAGCATGAGCGGTCCGTCCACCTGTTCATCGACTCCCTGCTGAATGAGGAAGAAGCTAGCAGAGCGTACAGCTGCGGGAGCAATGACATGTTTGACCGCGGCATGTGCCTCCAGTGTCGCAAGAACCACTGCAACACCATGGGCTATGACATCAGCAAAGTTCGTAAGGCAAGAAGCATCAAGATGTTCACCAAAACACGAGGCTCCATGCCGTTCAGAGGTCAGTGTCAAGTTTCAGAGGAGGAATTTTGAAACTGTAATTTAAACAATAATTTTGTTGCCTTTTAGTTTCCGTATAGTTTTTATTAAGTTTTAGCAGGAGTTCAGACAATACCGTTTTCAGTTAAAAATGGAAACCCTTTTATGTGTTTCGGCTGTTCATTTACACGTCAACTGCATTTTGGGGAACTTAAAAAGCACATTTTTGAAAATGATACAATTATCACCTCCACGTAAATTCTAAAAATGTGAATTTGTGAAAACCGTTACATCATGCGCATGCGTATTACATGTTCAGTCTATAGGCATGCGCGAGTTTCTTTACAAAGTGACATTGCCAACTACTGGCCCGGTATACATAATACAGCATTTTTAGTCATTTTCTCGGATCCGTGTGAACAAGGACCATTTTGACAATTTTGTCGTCTATATGCGAATCTTTTCAAAAACTCAAGGGGAAAAAAATCAATTTTTTATTACTTCAACTAAAAATAATTTGAAATGTTGCCTTGGCAGTTAGCTGATTTTTTTTATTAAAATTTTTTATTTCAAGTTTTTTATTTTTATTTATGGTTTTAGTTTTAGTTAACGATAATATCCCTGGCTGTGGGACGCTAAAACATTTATTCATTTTTTATTTTCAGTTTTCCATTATCAGCTGAAAATCAACTTCCTTGGGAAAATAAATCAATTAGCGATGGAGCCAGCACTGACAGTCTCACTTTACGGTACCAATGGTGAAGCAGAAGATCTCAAGTTGAACATGTGAGTAATCAAAAGATTATATCTTCTTAACGATCACTATATAGTGTGCATATGAGTCAAATTCCGTTTGCTAATTATCTTCACTAACTTCATCAAGCAGACAGGAGAAGATCACCCCCAATAAAACTCACTCATTCCTCGTGGTAACCGAGAAGGACATTGGAGATCTTCTGATGCTGAAGTTTAAATTGGAGGAGTCCACATCCTCTTTACTCACTCTGCTCTCCTCGTGGTGGTATGGAGATTCTGCCAATTCTGGCATACAGGTCCATAAAATCAGAGTCAGAGTTGGGGAGACACAAAAGAAGTATGTTTCTAAGTTTTATACTTGATATAGTGAGCATAAAAAGCTTTTGGAGACAGTTTTTCTACATAAATTAGAACTTAATACTGTTTTATCATTTCAAACAAATTTTCGCAAAATATTTTGGTGGAAAATGTAGCTTTCTTCACAATAAAAGACACCTGATCTGATGTTTTATTTCTTAATGCATTAACATTCATGCAATTTTAAGAGCATTCATTCTTCATTTTTTAGGATTGTGTTGTGTTTGAAAGATCCCCAAACAGGAAGTTCAACTCAGGACGTTGTATTTGTGAAATGCAAGGAGCCATGGCGGTCTTTATCTAAAAGGTAACAATAGCTATAATTGTCTATAATAGAATTTGGCTAATATCTTTACATTTAATCTAAAATAGTTCTCATAACTACAATTTTCTTTGGTCCAACACAGGCCCAAACTGAAAAGCCAATGAAAGGATTTACAAGTGATTTTGATAAAGCACTTCAACAAATGTATTTATACAGCTGTTATTTATTAAGACTGCAACTGCACTGACTGTACTGTATTGGATATATGATGTGTTGCTATGAATGCAAATAGATTGTGGACTTTTGTACTAGGGTAAGCCATAGGCTTGAAAAGCCTTGAAATGTGATCGATTTTATTGAATAATATTGGATTTGTGTTTGAAATTGCATTTGTAATGATGATGCTACTTTTCAAGCATTGTCTATTATCTGTTTTATGAAATAATTTAAGCATTTTGTACGAAATTATAATCAACAAGTTTTACATTATTGATCCATTTAGCCTACCGTTGTTTTGGCGAATTTTCATGGGCAAAATCCAGTCACTTCAATAGGAATCCATGTGATTAAGAATATCACGTGAGGGCAAAATATTTCCACACAGACATTTCATAATGGGTTTGTCTCACAAATTCATCATGTTAACAGTGTTGCCAACTTAGCAATTTTGTTGCTAAATTTAGCAACTTTCCAGACTATCCTAGCAACTTTTTTTTCCAAAAGCACCAAGCAACAAATTTAGCTATTTTTCAAATTTATTTGGCAACTTTTAGAAACTTTTGATACTATATTGAACTATAAAAAGGCGCACATTTTCAATCTAAATTACACAAAAAGAGGAAACCAAAAATTCCTAGCAGTACACATATCACTTGAATTATGTTAGCTGCTATTTGCAATTGTTTAATTTAATTGAAATTAATAATAATAATAATATTGAATAATTGTTCATTTATGATACACCTTGTTAGTAGCTTGTTCCTACGAATACGGAAAATTCCTCCATTTTAGTAGATTGTGCCCTATTTTTACAGACTTTTCTTAGAGTATAGCATACTGACTAACTACTAATACACTGCTTAAAAGTATAATTGTTCAGAATGTGTAGTTTTGTTTACTGGGTAATAAAAAAACTTAAATTGTAATCGTTAAAAAATGTGTACGTTTTCAATAATTTAATGTATGTAAAAATAGTTATTTATATTTTAATATCATATTATGCATTTATATTATTTTACGTACAAATCTAAATTAACATATATAAAATATATTTTTTGCTGAAATTTGATATAGTGACAATTTTGCATTGCGATTATATAATGACGTCATCGCGCAATGACATCACAACATCATTTACCAACAAATCAACCTACCTTTAGCAACTTCCCCTGAAAATTAGTTGGCAACACTGCGTGTTAAAGCTACTTGGTTTGAAAGTTACGTTTGTTTCAGCTGTTTGAACATTGCTACCCTATAAGCAATGGACCTTTTAGCCCGCGAAATTTATCTTGAGCATGTCCGGATAAAATATTATTAGGTAAGAAACAGTGGTTTACTTTTCACTGATCTGTCAACAAGGACAACATTGATGGTACCTTTCTCTGAGGAAAATGTAAACACAATATCATCATGGTTTTCACTACAAATACCATTGCAAATAATCAGCAATTAACCATTAAAAAAATGGTTTCCTGTAATGTGTTTTGGGACATAGTGTAATAATAAGATTTTTTTAACGTTGACCAATTACCAGTAGAGACCCAAAGGGACCATTACAGTTTCCATTAAAACCAATACAATTCCCATTATAACCAGTAAAACCATTACAAATTCTGCAATGGTTTCTTTTTTTTTTCCCAGCAGGGATTACTTCAAATCTTGAATGCTTTATGTTGTTTGAGCAAAAGAAAAAATTGCATCAAGAAACCACCTGTTAAATGCCAAATAAATAAGTAATGTGTTATTATTGGTACCTTTTATCTTTTGCACTGATAATCGACTTACCTAGGCATACTGTAACTGACATTTATTCTGTCAACTGCATCAAACAAACTGCTACAACACTTTACACATTTTTTTTTTAATAATGTATTGTACTGTACATCAATTAAGTAAATTTTACATAACTGTAAATTTGTTTAAAAAAGTCATAATAAATTATATCTTTGATCTAAACATATGCCTTTTTTAATGTCTTGAAATCTGAACTTGAATGTTTTATACATTTATTTTGACACACATATTACTCATTATATACAATTTAACTATTTTAATTATTTACACATATCATTGAACATGTTAAAACAACATCAAATAATGTCCTATTAAATAGATCTTGAACTTTTTTTACCTCATTCGAGCTTAAATGTCACTTAGTTCTTAGTGCTTATCATGGTATCCCCTCTCAAGGATGACATGAAGAGATAAAATCGTGAAAGCAAATCCAGCAGCTCAAACAAAGTGGCGTCGTGAAATCACTCATCATAGCCAAAAGTTTGCGAAACACTAAATTTTAACCTTGCTGATATCGTTCTGACCCTGTAATTTCCGGAGGAAACAAATGACCAGAGACAACCATAAGTAAGCCATTCATAGGTTAACATATACTGTATTTTTATTGTACCTTTCCCAAAAACATGTATCTAAACCATGAATCTACAGCAATCTGTTGTCATTAGCTATGTCGAGATAATCGGCTTTCTCAAAATCGGAGTCTCATGTTCTTGGATTTCTTTGAAATAAACGTAGGCAACATTGTGTACAAAGTTATTGAGAGCACAATGATTTATAGTTGAAAAGCTGGACAGTATTCAATTCTCAAATCAGCAGTGGAGTTAAAATAACTTTGTAATGGCCAATGGTGTGAGACACATGGCTGGAAGAGGCGAAGTAACTCAAATCATGTTTGGACAGATGCAGTCGACTCTCAGCTGTGCATCTGGACAGGCTTTAGTGATCAGTCAGATGTTTTAAACATTCAAAAGTAGCCACAAAAGCAATGCTTTCTTGCTTGCAGGGAGTGTTTTTTTGCCAGTTGGAGGGCTCCAAGTGGAGAGATGTTTACCTGTCGTCATCAATCTCAAGTGGCTGTCCAAAAATACAGATAGTTCCGGCCATTATTGCTGAGATGGCGAGAATACCCAGAAGTATTGCCCACCAATGTGCCTGCAAATGAGAAGAGAGAAGTTTCAAATAATAGCAAACATATATTCACTAGAGTGTTTCTAGCTTGCAGTTATGATGTTAGGGTTCTCTGGGTTGTTCCTTATTGGTCCATTTGGTTTTGGTGCCCAAAATATGTATCCTTGGAAATTTTGACAAATGTTAAAGCAAAGTCCTACTACTGTACACAGGACTAGTGAGGCCATCTCTACAGTAAAGGCAAAAAGGGAATATGGTAGCACACTATAATAGACCAAATAATAACAACAAACCTTCATCCAACCGGCCAGGTCATCAAACTCATCCAATTTCAGGAAAGAATTCTTAAGCCTTGCAATTGGGCCATCGGCATCTAGGATTCGACACACTTTGAACCTGTCGCAGTAGCCTCGGTTTCCAGAGCACGGAGCCCCAGGAACCAAAGCCACATGTTTCCCACTAAAGTAGTGCAAAAGAACTGAAGAAGTGGTGCTTGCACAAGTATTAGGTTTATCTATGGAGAGAAAATACCAAAGAAGAAAAATACAACTCAGATACAAGAACATATGCACTTTATTTACAAATTTATGGAGCAGTAATGTCAGCGCAAACAGTCCATTAAAACAAATGGCTGTTTATGCATCTAATTTATTTGGAGCAGTAAACACGTTCTGTTGTGGCGGAACATTGTGGTTACCTCTCTGCTGGCAGCACGTGGCACTTTTCCATCCTGTTCTCTCCCAGGCAGTCACATTGCACCATCTCATACAATGCACAGAGAGACAGGCCACATTCCTGTGTCATCAAGCCACAAGACATTGGTTATAGAGGATGTAACTTTGTGCGACAGGATAATAGGCAAAATATGCCCAATTTGCATGATTACTATGCGCATTAAGCCTGAATAATTCCATGTGCTCAGTTCCCAAGCACATATACTGATCATCCCAGAAAAGCAATTATTTTGGTTTATCTTGTCTTTTCATTTCTTCCTCACACAAATATATATTTATGACAATATAATGTTTTTTATGACTTTGGCCCAAGAAAAAAAAAATTGTCTGTTTTCAATTAAATCACATATTTGTATTACATAATATGTCCTCAAGGCTGTTCTGACTTTTGTAGAACTCAAATATGTTGTTTTATTGTATTTTGAATAGCAGAAAAATGCATGAAATCTGATTTTGACAAACATCAAATCTGTTTGAGACCGGTATAAAATCTGGATGAGTCTGAATGGTCTAATCAGAAACCAATGTAAATATGTAGACTGAATATGGATTACACTGGACTGAAAGAAACCAAAGATCAGATTTTATCAATTACAAAATGCAGATAGCAAGTTCTAAATATTACAATCCAAATCAGAATAGTACATAGTCAAAAAATAGCCAGATTGTCAATAGCTATGTTTCCATCACCCTGTTTTTATGCGCATTTTGAAGTATCGCATCAGAAACGAGTGATGGAAACAGCAAATTTCGGATAAAAATCCCTTAATTCACAAAAAAGTTTTTACGCTCGCTTGAGATGGTTTTTGACTTGTGTGAAAAAGGGTTAATGTGAATAAAAGGAGATGGAAACGCATTTGCTGAGTAAATTCCTCCATGCGCATCAAAAAAAGTCATGTGACTACGCTAACGGGACGGCAAAACCTAACCAGTGGACCGATCGTTCCTCAGCATCTGAAATGTTATGGTCATTTTGAAATGTCCGAGCAAAGTCTGTCATCAACGTATTTCTGTATAATTGCCTCCCAGAACTGTCACACGACTGCATTCCCAAACAGCAGCATCCACCTCCGAAAGCAAGGACCGCATTTATTTTTGTTTCGTCTGCTCGCGCTGAGGCGCAAGTAATTTATTATATAGGCCTATGAAAATTATTATATTCAGGGGTTTCTCCTACTTTGATATACAGCCTATCGCCAGTTCTACCAGGAAGTGACGATTTTGTTCTCTTTGACTAGTTGGATGGAAACGGTGCTTATTCGCAAATGTTTTATGCAATATTTCAATTTTGCACATTAGTTAAATTCGCAACTTTGGATGGAAACCCGGCTACTGTTGGACATACCCCATTAAAACAGACACGTGTACCATCACTGCATATTGTCATGTCTGGCTTGGCGGCGGGTTCTGGACATACAGCAGAGGAACCGGTGCATACACTTCGGTTGCGACACTCAGATTGGCGTTCACACATCAGCCCAGATTCCTTGAAGACACAATGGGAGCTGCAGCATAGACCCTGGCTAGGACTGTGACAGATATAAGGTAAACAGTTACCAATGATCATATTCAAAAAGGTAGATTTAGTGTACCATAATCAGTTCAAGCATTATTAGGCCCCAACCCAAATAGTACTGTTTATGTAGACATAATTTACAAATTTTTATCAAGTCCACAAGACTCTACGGAAGGGCCCCAACCCAGCTCCTGGAGGGCCACCTTCCTCCAGAGTTTAGGACTGGACACCCTTGCCTTACGGAAGGGGGGTCCAGCACAGTTCCTGGAGGGCAAACTTTTAAGAAAGTTTAGCTCAAATGTTCTCTAAAACACCTGCTGTGACATT